TTAAAGCGCCCTTCTTTCTCTGCGCTGGCTGTTGTCGCCCTGTTGATGACGTCAGCGACGCAGTTTAATTGGGAGTGGCTTAGTCGAGCATGGTTTTGACGGGTCACGAATAAGACAGGGTCTTATTTTCTTTTGACCTCCAAAATAAGCGCTTGGCCTTATTTTCGGGGAGGTCTTATTATTTTTGAGCTGCAGGAGGCAGCGAGCATGGTCACCTCATGGCTGCTGCAGTGTTGCAATAATTTCGGGGAAGGCTTATTTTAGCGCATGCGCTCAAAAGCCCGATTGGGCTTATTATCGGGGGAGGTTTTATTTTCAGGGAAACGGTACTATTAAGCAACATGCTCAAAAGGAATAGGTATCACTTGCTATGTTCAGGAGGCTTGTTAATTGGGCACAATTGGTCTTCCTCTGATAATCTCTGAAAAGATACCAGTAACATTTTCCTCAGCATCTCTATCCCCATTTTAATGGCTTGTTTTGTTTGGCTTAGAATGTGGTGTTGTTCTGACCTAGACTTCCTGATACAGTATAATGCACAGGATTAAGTCCAAAAACCCTCCTTTATTTCAAAGGCTGTGAATTATATTCATTCACAGCCCATAATGAATCCCAAATAGTAGTAAAGAGTTCTACAGCAGGCTTTGGGATAAGGCTGATAAGCACCCATCTTTATCTTCTTTGAAAACACTGCCAAAGACTTAATTGGCAATTAGCTTGGCAGGGCCACACAGAGCAAAGAGTCCAAACGTATTTTAAGAAGGTAAGCTGACCGGCATGAACCAAGTTGCTTCCTGCAAAGGCTCATGTGTCTTTGTTCCTCCTTTATGTCCTATGGGAGGGGCCAATCACCTCCAAACCTTACTCCCGAGTTGTCCTTCTGTTTTAAATGTTCTTGCCTTCTGGCAGCTCTGTGCATGCGCGCATTGGGAACAGGGGGAGCCTGTTCCTCTGCCTCGATGCTGTCCAACTATGGAAGCTCCAGAGGCAGATGGCCCTGACCCCCTCTCTGCCTTCGATGCAGAGCCTGCATCCGAGCCTTCCCCAGACTCCAGGACTGGCCCATGTCCCTCCCCAACCTCCCCGCTGTCCGACTCTGCTGCGAGCTCCACCAGCGGCCACAACAGATGTAAACAACTACAGATAGTCATATCACAATTGGGACCATAATTTCCATTGCTAACTAAGGCAGTTGCTCAGGATGTCACACTCAATTCTGCAGTGGTTGTTAAGCAAATCACTGCCATTGTTAAGTAAAATCATGCAGTTATTAAGATAATTTAGCTTCCCCCATTGAGTTTGCTTGCTGGAAACTGGCTGGGAGGGGCATAAATGGCAATTGCATGACTTCAGGACATTGCAACTGTCATAAATATATGCCTAAATTTTGATCATGTGCTCAGGGGATGCTACAATGACAATAAGTGTGAGAACCATTTATAAGGCACTTTTTCCCGTGCCGTTTTAACTTCGAATGGTTGGTAATCAAATGGTTGTACATCAAGGATTACCTCTATGCTTGTTTTTAATTAGAAACATGAGTTCCAGCTTCATCTGATAACAATGTTTTTAATCTAGTAATGATTTATTCAACAAACTAAGATTTAACTACCGTATTTTTCAGACTATAAGACGCACCTTTTTCCTTCAAAAAAGAGGCTGAAAATCTGGATGCGTCTTATACACTGAATACAGCATTTTTGGCCTCCTGAAACCCCACCCCCTTCACCAAAATGACCATGCATTGCCTTTAGGAGGCTTTCAGGGAGCTCCTGGGGGCTGGGGAGGGCAGAAATGAAAGAAAAACAGGCCGTTTTTTGCTCAATTTTGCCCCCCCCCCCCCGGAACACTCTACAAACCCTCCTAATGGCTATTCATGCCTTTAAAAAAAATGGGGCCATTTTCGTGAAAAATGGGGCATTTTGGGGAGGTCTGCAGAGTGTAAAACTTTTTTTTAAAATTTGCCTCTTCAAAACCTCTTCAAAAAATACGGTAAGTGGCTTGTGTGAACCATTCCCTGGTAATGATTCCTGGACTATTCAGTAGGTTTCTCTGAATGACTTGTTCATAGATAGAATTTCAGAACTCAAAAATGGGGGGGGGGGTTTAACCCCAAGTGGCTTGATAAACTTCAAGCTTACAAAGCTAAATGTATGTTAATTTTTGTTTTGTTTTGTTTAGAATAAAAAGCCAGTGCTCGACCAGGATGAGGACTCTAAACCTTGCACTTCTGAGATCCAGACTACTGGGTGAAAAGTGTGAATAACCAAACTACTTTTTAAAAGCTCGAAGCACACCGGCATCTTTTCTTTCTTTTTCTTTTTTTTTTCAAAAATGCTATTTGAATTCTTCTGCGTAGGAAATGGTGCCTGAATTCTAATTTTACTTGTCAAAAATTCTGTAACAAGAACGAGACTGAAAGCTCCGAGCACTTTTCCTTTGACAGGTTGGTGCGAGTTGAACCAGCATCCAGGAAGCAGAAGTGCTGTCCCATAAAAGTGCCAAATTATAGATTTTTCTAATTTATTTATTTATTAGTTTTCTATTGCCTCAATCTCGTGATTTTGGATGGTGTGCAAGAATCTCAACAGTGATCTTAAAATCAACTGTGTCAGCAGAAACAGAGACAAAGAAAATACGTCCATCTTCCTTCCCCACTAAGCCTTGGAGTAATCAGGAAAGTTTTCCAGAGCTTCTTAAAAGCCAAAAATGAAGCATCAGGTGTATTTCCAGGGAAGGTTTATTCCATAGAGCAGTGTTTCTCAGCCTCAACAGCTTTAAGATGAGTGGAATTTCTACTAGAATTTCCCAGCCAGCAACGAGGTGTGGCCATATTTGAGAACCGTTGATGGTCTTCGGATTAGCAACTCAGTTCACTCTTTGGAGGATGAATGCATCTATTTTGGAAATACTAACTATTTAGATAATGGGAAAGCCAGACAAGCTAAGAAAGGGAGAAGTAAATAAAAGAAAATTCATGTTGGTATCTGTAAACCCATAGCATCCTTTATAGAACATGCTGCCAGAGGGGATGGATTTGGGCAGCCTATACATTTGATGAATATATCTTAAAAAAATAACAAGCTGAGCTTCATCCCATGATTGTGTTGGAAGATTAAATATGGGGAACTAGATTGTGTCCTTATTGTTATGCTCACAAGCAGTGCCATAGAGGGCTAGGATTTAAAAAAGGCCTTAAAACCAAAAGTGAGGGACCAAATGACTCTCAAGCATGGGAATTTTTAAATTCCCTATTTTTTCCTTCAGTGGATTAGAGGAATATATCAGGGAAATGTTTGCTCACAATATATCTAGACTTCTATTGAATTTATGCTTCATTCTATGTACTATATTTACTACATAGGTAGATCAAACTGCCAGGGGTGATTGTGTGTAACATTAGGGTTGCAGTAAATATGATGATATCTGTGGAAATTCTCAATCATGCATGTCATGGTCATCTCAAAGGTGCATTTCCCAAAAGGCAATTGGACTTTCTTGGGGGGTTTTTTCCCTTTGAAAACATTTTGCTTCTCACCCAAGAACTGAAGTAGCTTCTTGGAGGAGAAGCAAAATGTTTTCAAAGAAATAAAACCAAAGAAGTCGAGTAGCCTTTTGGAAAAAAGCACCTTTTGGATAAATATGCTGATATTACCTAGTTCTCTATATCTTGCCACTCAACCTCAGAGAAATAGCATGGACCCTTGAAGATTGCAGGGTGCTTGGTGCTCTCCGAGCTTGGTGGTTTTCATCAGTGTCCTGATGATGTTATCTAGTTTGGTAATGAAATGTCTGCAAGAAAACCAAGCTCAAAGAGCAGCAAAGGACTCGACTCAGCAGTTCAACCCTGAACTACAGATATTCTCTTCTATGGGTACACTTGAACATTGCTTAGTCAGTAATTGGGTGGGTGAGGGAGAATATATTGAAATGATATGCAGAGAAGAGGGGGGTGCGGTGGGCCAGAAGAAATACGGTTACATTCTTGTGATTTGGACTGGGTTGGATGGTGCTGCATTCCTTCCTAAACCAGCAGGTCCATAGTTTATGTGTGATCCCCAGGAGATTGTCCAGAGAAATCAATGGTAAAAGGTGCATTTCCACATTCATGCTAAGTGTATCAATTGCAAGTGCTTGTTGGCCAGCTGTATTGGGCAACAGTTATCCACATTTTTGTTGTATTTCATCTGCTGTACACGTACCACAGTCCTTAATGTACAACTATTCATTTAGTTAACTATTTGTTGTAACTGCTCAAAGTAACAACGGCATTGAAAAAAGTGACTTGATCTTTTTCACATTTACAATCACTGCAGCATACCAAACGAGGTTAAAATTTAGATGCTTGGCAACAGACTCATATTTTTGAGGTTTGCAGGGTCCGTGTGTGTGTGTGTGTGTGTGTGTGTGTGTGTGTGTGTGTGTGTCAGGCGATCACCTTTTGTGACCTGACAAACAAAGTCAATGGGGAAGCCAGATACACTTAACAACCATGTTACTAATTTAACAACTGCAGCAATTCATTTAAAAACTGTGGCAATAAAAGTCAGAAAATGGGGCAAAATTTCCTTAGCCGGTGAACCTTTTGCCTCCGTTGTGGTCGTAAGTCAAGGACTCTGTATTTGGAGGCCACTTGAAAAAAAGTTAATCAGATTTTAAAGATGATTTTGTAAATAGCCACTTGCAAGGTTCTCTATCAATGAACAGAAAGTCTCTAATGTATTTGTGAATAAATGTATTCCAAATCGGAACGTTTGCTGATATTATTGTACCTGTCTCTTCCTCTTAATAAATCTTATTAAAGACTGTCACAATCTTACCTGAAATAATTATTTTTGGTTGAGGCAAGTGCCGAAGAACCTGCCACAAGGGTACTTCTAAGGTAGGGGTGTCGAACTCAAGGACTGTGGGCTGGATGTGGCTCTTGGAGTGCTTATATCTGGCCCATGGGTCTGGCCTGGAAATACCAAAGGACTGGCCTACACTGCCTCTGCCAGCCAAAATGGGCTGTGTGTGGCTCCCCGTGGCCCGTTTTT